CCCCAAAACCCCAAAACCCCAAAACCCCAAAACCCCAAAACCCCAAAACCCCTATTGAGGGTAACATTATTGAAAGATTTTAGGCTGGACATTGATGTACAACTCGTGTTTTGAACATAATTACTGATGCAGCATAGTGAACTCCAGCTGCAGTGAGGACGAAACAGTGCCAGATATTGTGAGAGTTTCCGATACAGTCAAAATTTCACTTTCTTTTCTTCCCCTATATTGGAAATATGAGATTTATGATAGATTACATTCGTCTTTCTTACCTTTGTGAATCTTTCAGGAAACCTCGTGCTGTAGATTACTGCACCTAGGATGTAAATAGCTCCTCCAAGGCCAAGTAAGAAAATTGGTGGCTTTGGCATATATTCAGGATGTCTAAACCCGATAATGTGAATCCCTGGTATGGCACTTGACAGTCCAACTACTACGAAAAGAATTGCTCGTCACATTCTATACTTTGGGGCATCGAATTTGGGAATGAGGCTGACTATAAGATAGGGTTAACTCTCTCTTGTTAAAATATGTCTCTAATCTCTTCAAAAATGCCAATAAAAATTAAGAATATTTATGCATCAAAAATTCTCTAAAACAAGAATTTATATGGAGGAGGTCAGCTTTGGATTCTATCCAGATTTTTAAGGTAAAATTTTAGCGTACCTGCAAAGGCTATTCCTCAGCCAGCTGCCATCACTGAGGTGTAAACGTAGCCGTATGTGGATACTTGAGGGCACCAGAATGAGTAAATATAGATCGGAGTTCAAGAGCCTGCGATCAGGATCGCAATTCCTCCATAATCGAACCTGGAGAGGATATTTAGAGCGTCTTTGGAATGACATCAGAACAGGTGGAATGTTGAGCTTAAAAATAAACATATCATCGCACATGAAATGTGGACTATAGATCGTTAGATATTATTACCTCCAAGCGGTATCTTACTGATATAGTCACCTACTCCTTCTGGACTATGTCCTTTAAGAGTAATGTAGTCTCTATAGTTCAGGTCAGTTAGGCTAGTGTGACAAGTCAAGAATTATTACAAGGAAAATCCAAGATTTAGCCAAAATCCGTTAATGATGATGAGAAAATTGCTGAAAATGATTCCTAAAATAATCGTTCGGGAAATTTAAATAAATTTCCTACTTACGTCATTCGTCGAAATATGATCTTAAATCTACTTACTTTATGAAATTGAGGAAACTAGGGGAGAGGTCCTTGTTCTCAAGCTCAATGGCCACATAAAATATTATGCAGAAAAAAACCATCAGGCCGAGGAGATGAGACCAGATGTTAACCGTCTCATTATGCCACATGAATAATGACTTGAGTACAATACAGAACTTATTGTATTTGATCCTGTAGCCAGTCCGGATTTCAGGGTTATCCCTGAGATACTCATCAGCCTCTTCATAAGTACCGATGAAAGGCTTTACCTCAGGTTTGGGAGCGAGCTCAGTGTCGCTAGGGCATTAGAGTAGAGCACCTACCTTTCGTTCACCTTGGTCTTGTTATCCTTCCCGCTGTCATCTAATTTAAAATTATTATTGGCTGCTAATCAAGGATACCAGAAGAAAGCCTGGTGAGAGGTTAAAGTTTCAGAAAGGAATAGAACCCTTACTTTTCTCCTGGTCAGGGATCAGCGGTATCTTCATGTTGTCTCTTGAACTGTTCATAAATTCTGGACTAGAATCCATATCTCTATGATAGTGATTAGTTTGGGAAATTAAGAAATCTTGAAGGCCAGCTGAAGGTGAAATTTGGAAATTGTAATTTCAGAGTATTATGATGCTATTTTAACCTTATAAATAACTAAAATAGAGCTTGAAAATAGAGATGAAGCTTTCTTAATCCTTTTTAATCTATCTAGCGATATCTACAAGTCCCTTACGTTTCATCTATCTTTATTGATGCTTTGTTCTCCTCCATTTCTTAAGATTGAATAAAATTATAATCTCTTCACACAGTCACCTGACATCATTTTGGGGTTTTGGGGTTTTGGGGTTTTGGGGTTTTGGGG